AACGGAAAAACACTATTTTAGCTTTTGGGATCCGGTTGCGGTTCTAATTCTTATACCCCAATCATAACAAGAGATCTAGTCATATTGGCTCCAAAACACTAACAAGCTTCTTATTGCTTCTCAAATCTTTGTGGGTGTGGCCGAAGTCCTATGAGTTTTCGGTTTTGGAGCTTCTAAACGGAAAACACTATTTTAGCTTTTTGGATCCGGTTGCGGTTCTAGTTCTTATACCCAATCATAAACACGAGATCTAGTCATATTTGGCTCCAAGAACACTAACCAAGCTTCTTATTGCTTCTCAAATCTTTGTGGGTGTGGCCGAAGTCCTATGAGTTTTCGGGTTTGGAGCTTCTAAACGGAAAAACACTATTTTGGCTTTTGGGATCCGGTTGCGGTTCTAGTTCTTCTACCCATCATAACTCGAGATCTAGTAATATGTTGACTCCAAAAACACTAACCCAGGCTTCTTATTGCTTATCAAATCTTTGTGGGTGTGGCCAAAGTCCTATGAGTTTTCAGTTTTGGAGCTTCTAAACGGAAAAACACTATTTTCGCTTTTGGGATCCGGTTGCGGTTCTAGTTCTTATACCCAATCATAAACACGAGATCTAGTCATATTTGACTCCAAAAACACTAACCAAGCTTCTTATTGCTTCTCAAATCTTTGTGGGTGTGTCTGAAGTCCTATGAGATTCCGGTTTTGAAGCTTCTAAACAGAAAAACACTACTTTGGCTTTTAGGATCCGGTTGCGGTTCTAGTTCTTATACCCAATCATAAACTCCATATCTAGTCATATTTGACTCCAAAAACACTAACCACGCTTCTTATTGATTCTCAAATCTTTGTGGGTGTGGCCGAAGTCCTTTGAGTTTTCGGTTTTGGAGCTTCTAAACGGAAAAACACTATTTTAGCTTTTGGGATCCGGTTGCGGTTCTAGTTCTTATACCCAATCATAAACACGAGATCTAGTCATATTTGACTCCAAAAACACTAACCAAGCTTCTTATTGCTTCTCAAATCTTTGTGGGTGTGGCCGAAGTCCTATGAGTTTTCGGTTTTGGAGCTTCTAAACGGAAAAACACTATTTTAGCTTTTGGGATACGGTTGCGGTTCTATTTCTTGTACCCAATCATAAACACGAGATCTAGTTATATTTGACTCCAAAAACACTAATCAAGCTTCTTATTGCTTCTCAAATCTTTGTGGGTGTGGCCGAAGTCCTATGAGTTTTCGGTTTTGGAGCTTCTAAACGGAAAAACACTATTTTAGCTTTTGGGATCCGGTTGCGGTTCTAGTTCTTATACCCAATCATAAACACGAGATCTAGTCATATTTGGCTCCAAAAACACTAACCAAGCTTCTTATTGCTTCTCAAATCTTTGTGGGTGTGGCCGAAGTCCTATGAGTTTTTGGTTTTGGAGCTTCTAAACGGAAAAACACTATTTTGGCTTTTGGGATCCGGTTGCGGTTCTAGTTCTTCTACCCAATCATAAACTCGAGATCTAGTCATATTTGACTCCAAAAACACTAACCAGGCTTCTTATTGCTTATCAAATCTTTGTGGGTGTGGCCAAAGTCCTATGAGTTTTCGGTTTTGGAGCTTCTAAACGGAAAAACACTATTTTCGGTTTTGGGATCCGGTTGCGGTTCTAGTTCTTATACCCAATCATAAACACGAGATCTAGTCATATTTGACTCCAAAAACACTAACCAAGCTTCTTATTGCTTCTCAAATCTATGTGGGTGTGTCCGAAGTCCAATGAGTTTTTGGTTTTGGAGCTTCTAAATGGAAAAACACAACTTTGGCTTTTGGGATCCGGTTGCGGTTCTAGTTCTTCTACCCAATCATAAACACGAGATCTAGTCATATTTGACTCCAAAAACACTAACCACGCTTCTTATTGCTTCTCAAATCTTTATGGGTGTGGCCGAAGTCCTATGAGATTCTGGTTTTGAATCTTCTAAACGGAAAAACACTACTTTGGCTTTTGGGATCCGGTTGCGGTTCTAGTTCTTATACCCAATCATAAACTCGAGATCTAGTCATATTTGACTCTTCTTATTGCTTCTCAAATCTTTTTGGGTGTGGCAGAAGTCCTACGAGTTTTCTGTTTTGGAGTTTCTAAACGGAAAAACACTATTTCAGCTTTTGGGATCCGGTTGCGGTTCTAGTTTTTATACCCAATCATAAACACGAGATCTAGTCATATTTGGCTCCAAAAACACTAACCAAGCTTCTTATTGCTTCTCAAATCTTTGTGAGTGTGGCCGAAGTCCTATGAGTTTTCGGTTTTGGAGCTTCTATACGGAAAAACACTATTTTAGCTTTTGGGATCCGGTTGCGGTTCTAGTTCTTATACCCAATCCTAAACACGAGATCTAGTCATATTTTGCTCCAAGAACACTAACCAAGCTTCTTATTGCTTCTCAAATCTTTGTGGGTGTGGCCGAAGTCCTATGAGTTTTCGGGTTTGGAGCTTCTAAACGGAAAAACACTATTTTGGCTTTTGGGATCCGGTTGCGGTTCTAGTTCTTCTACCCAATCATAAACTCGAGATCTAGTCATATTTGACTCCAAAAACACTAACCAAGCTTCTTATTGCTTCTCAAATCTTTGTGGGTGTGGCCGAAGTCCTTGATATCTCTGTATTTTACCTCTTTTTAGCATACATTTGATATGCATTTAGCTTAGTATTCACTCTTATTTACTGTCATTTGTAGTCATTTTGCATCACTTTGCATACTTAGAGTATTTTACATTAGCATAGCATGCATTCTTGCATTTTGGAGTTGTATCAGGTACATTCAGGTACTAAGGAGCTGTGCAGAGCAGTGCCAGAGCTGTGCAGAGCAGTGCCAGAGCAGTGCCAGAGCAGTGTACTCGAGCAGTGCCAGAGCAGTTCCAGAGTAGTGTACTCGAGCAGTGCCAGAGCAGTGCCAGAGCAGCTGTAGAGAGACCACATCCTACTCGAGTAGGTACTCGAGTCTCTACTCGAGTTCACCTGAGAGCTTCACTCCAGCAAGATGCAACCTTTGAAGAAATGGACTACTCGACCAAGCCACTCGAGTACCAACTCGAGTAGACCTTAAACCGACTTTCTATTTTGTCATTTTGTGTATTAGGGTTTTCTACTTTCACTATAAATAGACCTCTTAGGGCTTTGCCCAAAGGATCTCGTTTTTAGCCTCTGAGCAATATTTTCTGCAAACTTTTGTAATCCAAATTACTTTTGATCCTTTGAGTTTTTGCAATTATTTCCTTCTGCAAAGTTGTTTATCTTGCTTTGATCTATAACATATGAAGTTTTAGCGATTTCTGGGTTTGTGCAATTTTCTGGGTTTGTGTTCTTGAGCATGTCTGAGTAGTGGATTAGGGTTCTTGAGGATGGGTTAGATTAGGTGTGGAATCTTTAGTTTATTTAGGTGGTTAAGTGTAGAATTGCTTGATTTCCCTTCTGGTTTAGTAGATCTTAATGCTATTTCTTCTCTGATCAATTGGAAGTAGATCTCAGACATTTCCACACCCACAAGGTGTTTGATGAAATGTCTGAACAAACTCTTCCAGAGATTTGCATACTCTAGCCCAAGAGATTGGATGTTTAGAATGCTTATTGACTAGATTAGATTGAATCATAATGCCTGCTAGGTTATATTTCTTCAATGAGAATTGAGTATGAAAGTGATTTAGCTTGAGAATCTCTGTCACGAGAGTGGATTGATTTGTATTTGAATCTATTGTCTAGGGATAGCTTGATTGAGTTTGTTAACCACCTAGGTAGACTAAGGAGACTGCCATAATCGATTACCCCATTCCTCAGGACCTTTTATCTCATTTGATTGCTTATCTCTTTCTTGTTGCTCACCTGTTGCTTACCTGTTGCTTATTGCTGCTTAGTATTGATAGTTCTTTCTCTTTATGCATGATCACTCCTGTTCTGTAGTTTTATCGCTTATGCATGATCGCTTAGGATTGCTAGATAAACAAACCTCTATTCTGCTTGGCTTGACTTAGTATTCTCTGATCGCATCTTGATTGATAGTAAGAGCACCTGATTGGATTGATAACCTCTTATACTGCAATGACATGAAAGTATATTAGGGTAATTGATAGTGAAAATCCTAGTATCAATTTGGCGCCGTTGCCATTTGGGTGTCTGCTTGTTACATTCAAGATTTTAGAATTGCTAAGATCAAGTTCTTTCTTTACTTTGGTTACTAACTACTCTCTTCAACTGCTTGTTTTTGTGTTCCAGGCACTAGCTCGAGTACAAACTCAACACGTGCATGCAAACTCGTTCCAAAGGTTCTGACAATCTCATCAGCTACAGAGACAACATCAATCGTTTAGCTCGTGAGTTGAGAGAGCGTAGAGACAGAGACGGTTGTGACCAGCACAATCCAGCTGCCATGGAACCACAAGATCAAGATAATCAAGGAGTTGGTATACCACGGAACATTGGTGATGGTGATGCACCACGCAACCATCAACAGAGACAGGGCATCGTTCCACCTCCTGTCCAGAACAACAATTTCGAGATCAAGAGTGGATTGATCTCAATGATACAAGGTAACAAGTTTCATGGGTTGCCTCTGGAAGATCCCTTGGATCACTTGGATAATTTTGATAGGCTCTGCAGCCTCACCAAGATAAATGGTGTTAGTGAGGACAGTTTCAAGCTGCGTCTGTTTCCCTTCTCACTGGGCGACAAAGCACACCACTGGGAGAAAACACTACCTGCTGCCTCCATCACATCTTGGGACGATTGCAAGAAGGCCTTCTTAACAAAGTTCTTCTCAAATTCAAGAACTGCACGTCTAAGGAATGAAATCTCCAGTTTCACCCAAAAGCAGTCTGAATCCATTTGTGAGGCCTGGGAGAGATTCAAAGGCTACATTTGATATGCATTTAGCTTAGTATTCACTCTTATTTACTGTCATTTGTAGTCATTTTGCATCACTTTGCATACTTAGAGTATTTTACATTAGCATAGCATGCATTCTTGCATTTTGGAGTTGTATCAGGTACATTCAGGTACTAAGGAGCTGTGCAGAGCAGTGCCAGAGCTGTGCAGAGCAGTGCCAGAGCAGTGCCAGAGTAGTGTACTCGAGCAGTGCCAGAGCAGTTCCAGAGTAGTGTACTCGAGCAGTGCCAGAGCAGTGCCAGAGCAGCTGTAGAGAGACCACATCCTACTCGAGTAGGTACTCGAGTCTCTACTCGAGTTCACCTGAGAGCTTCACTCCAGCAAGATGCAACCTTTGAAGAAATGGACTACTCGACCAAGCCACTCGAGTACCAACTCGAGTAGACCTTAAACCGACTTTCTATTTTGTCATTTTGTGTATTAGGGTTTTCTACTTTCACTATAAATAGACCTCTTCGGGCTTTGCCCAAAGGATCTCGTTTTTTAGCCTCTGAGCAATATTTTCTGCAAACTTTTGTAATCCAAATTACTTTTGATCCTTTGAGTTTTTGCAATTATTTCCTTCTGCAAAGTTGTTTATCTTGCTTTGATCTATAACATATGAAGTTTTTAGCGATTTCTGGGTTTATGCAATTTTCTGGGTTTGTGTTCTTGAGCATGTCTGAGTAGTGGATTAGGGTTCTTGAGGATGGGATAGATTAGGTGTGGAATCCTTAGTGTATTTAGGTGGTTAAGTGTAGAATTGCTTGAATCCCTTCTGGATTAGTAGTACTTAGTGCTTATTCCTTTCTGATCAACTGGGATTTGAACCCAGACATTTCCACACCCACCAGGTGTTCGATGAAATGTCTGAACCAACTACTCCAGAGATTTACATACTCTAGCCCAAGAGATTGGATGTTTAGAATGTTTATTGACTATATTAGATTGAATCTTATTGCCTGCTTTGCTAGATTTCGCTAATGATGATTAGGTCTGGAACTGGTATTGCTTGAGGATCTCTGTCACGAGAGTGGATTGATCTGTAGTTGAATCTATTGTCTAGGGATAGCCTGTTTGGATTGTTAACCACCTAAGTAGATTAAGGAGACTGCTATAATCGATTACCCTATCCTCAGGACCTTTTATCTCATTTGATTTACTTGTCTCTTTACCTACCTGTTTCTTATTGCTGCTTAGTATTGATAGTTCTTTCTCTTATGCATGTTCACTCCTGTTCTGTAGTTTTATCGTTTTTATGCATGTTCGCTTAGGATTGCTAGATAACAAACCTCTATTCTGCTTGGCTTGACTTAGTTATCTCTGAGCATATCTTGATTGATAGTAAGAGCACCTGATTGGATTGATAACCTCTTATACTGCAATGACATGAAAGTATATTAGGGTAATTGATAGTGAAAATCCTAGTATCAATTTGGCGCCGTTGCCATTTGGGTGTCTGCTTGTTACATTCAAGATTTTAGAATTACTAAGATCAAGTTCTTTCTTTACTTTGGTTACTAACTACTCTCTTCAACTGCTTGTTTTTGTGTTCCAGGCACTAGCTCGAGTACAAACTCAACACGTGCATGCAAACTCGTTCCAAAGGTTCTGACAATCTCATCAGCTACAGAGACAACATCAATCGTTTAGCTCGTGAGTTGAGAGAGCGTAGAGACAGAGACGGTTGTGAACAACACAATTCAGTAGCCATGGAACCACAAGATCAAGATAATCACGGAGTTGGTATACCACGGAACATTGGTGATGGTGATGCACCACGCAACCATCAACAGAGACAGGGCATCGTTCCACCTCCTGTCCAGAACAACAATTTCGAGATCAAGAGTGGATTGATCTCAATGATACAAGGTAACAAGTTTCATGGGTTGCCTCTGGAAGATCCCTTGGATCACTTGGATAACTTTGATAGGCTCTGCAGCCTCACCAAGATAAATGGTGTTAGTGAGGACAGTTTCAAGCTGCGTCTGTTTCCCTTCTCGCTGGGCGACAAAGCACACCACTGGGAGAAAACACTACCTGCTGGCTCCATCACATCTTGGGACGATTGCAAGAAGGCCTTCTTAACTAAGTTCTTCTCAAATTCAAGAACTGCTCGTCTAAGGAATGAAATCTCCAGTTTCACCCAAAAGCAGTCTGAATCCATTTGTGAGGCCTGGGAGAGATTCAAAGGCTACACTATACAGTGTCCACACCATGGTTTCAAGAAGGCTTCACTACTCAGCACACTCTACAGGGGAGTTTTGCCCAAGATCAGAATGTTGCTAGACACTGCCTCTAATGGGAATTTCTTGAACAAGGATGTTGAGGAAGGCTGGGAATTGATAGAGAACTTGGCTCTATCTGATGGTAACTATAACGAGGATTTTGATCGCTCCAACAGAGGTATTGGAGATTTGGATGCGAAGCATAGTAAAGATATCAAGGCTCTCAACGATAAGTTGGATAAGATTCTGCTTACTCAACAGAAGCAAGTCCACTATATCACTGAAGAAGAGCACTATCAACTTCAAGAAGGGGAGAATACTCAGGATGCAGAAGTTAGCTACATTCAGAACCAAGGTGGCTACAACAAAGGATACAACCCCTACAAGCCTGCTCATCCTAATCTATCTTACCGGAGCACGAATGTTGCAAATCCTCAAGATCAGGTTTACCCTCAGCAACAACAGAACCAGTCCAAGCCATTCGTTCCATACAATCAAGGCTTTGTCCCAAAGCAGCAGTTCAGTGGAGGTTATCAACAACATAATCCACCACCCGGTTTTTCACAGCAACCCCAACAAGCTCCGCCTGCACAAGATCAAGACAAGGTTCAGCAAATGCTTCAGCAGATTCTACAAGGTCAAGCTACTGGTGCTATGGTTCTTGATAAGAAATTGGCTGATATTCAAAACAAAGTCGACTGCTCATACAATGATCTAAATATCAAGTTTGAGGCTCTAAACTCCAAGGTGAAGTACATGGAGAGCCAAGCTGCTTCTACTTCTGCACCTAAACATCCCGGACAACTACCCGGGAAAGCTATTCAGAATCCAAGAGAGTATGCTAATGCAATTCAACTCCGCAGTGGTCGAGAGCTGCGTGCTCGACCTAACCAAGATCCTGTCACTGAGGACAGTGAGATTCAAGAAGGGGAGGATTCTATTCAGAATGAAACTCCAGTAGATGACACCACTAAGCTTGACCAGGATACTCCACCTAGGGATCAAGCTAAGAGTCCCCAAATCGAAAAACCAACTGTTGATAAGGGTAAGAAGAAAGCTTTTGTTCCACCGCCCTACAAGCCCAAAATACCATTTCCAGGAAGATTCAAGAGAGACATCATTGAGAAGTACAGAGCCATGTTTGCTAAACACATCAAGGAACTTGAAGTAAGGATGCCTCTCATTGATGCTTTCATGCTAATTCCAGATTCTCACAAGTTCTTGAAAGACATGGTAATGGAGAGAATTCAGGAAGTACAAGGAATGGTAGTGTTGAGCCATGAATGCAGTGCTATCATACAGAAGAAGATCATACCAAAGAAGCTTGGGGATCCCGGCTCGTTTACTCTTCCCTGTTCACTAGGCCCTTTGTTCTTCAACAAATGCCTATGTGATCTAGGTGCATCAGTCAGTTTGATGCCACTCTCAGTAGCAAGAAGACTCGGTTTCAACAGGTACAAGTCCTGCCAAATCCAACTAATCTTAGCCGACAGATCCGTAAGAGTCCCTCATGGTATGTTAGAGGATCTACCTGTCAGAATAGGAAGGGTAGAGATCCCTACAGACTTCGTTGTTCTAGAAATGGATGAAGAGCCAAAGGACCCTCTCATACTAGGGAGACCTTTCTTAGCTACTGCTGGAGCTCTCATTGATGTCAGAAGAGGTAAGATCGACTTAAACCTCGGTGAAGATTTCAAGATGACATTCGACATCACTAAGACGATGAAGAAACCTACCATTGACGGACAAGTGTTCTACATAGAAGAATTGGATCGTTTAGCTGACGAACTGCTTGAAGAGCTTACTGAAGAAGACTACCTACAGAGTGCTCTTACTAAAGATGGAGAAGAGGGATTCTTACACTTAGAGACTTTGGGTTATAAGAAGCTTTTAGACTCACATAAAGAAGTAGAAGATCCAGAGTACTTTGAAGAGCTGATTGTGTCTCCAACAGAGGTTTTGGCAGTAACTGAGGACGATTCAGCAACTACTCAAGCATGCTACTCGAGTAGCAACTCGAGCAGACCGTCTGAGGAGGCCGAAGACACACACTCGAGTATACCACTCGGGATACCATCAACTTGTGCATCAGACGACTGGTCTGAACTTAAAGCTCCGAAAGTTGATCTTAAACCGCTCCCTCAAGGTCTAAGGTACGCATTCCTTGGAACAAACTCTACTTACCCTGTGATCATAAATGCTGCATTGAATGATGATGAAGTGAATTTGCTATTGTCTGAGCTTAGGAAGTATAGAAAAGCTATCGGTTATTCGTTGTCTGATATAAAAGGAATTTCACCTAGCTTATGCAATCATAGAATCCACCTCGAAAACGAATCCTATTCTAGTATTGAACCACAGAGAAGGTTAAACCCTAACTTGAAAGAAGTAGTGAAAAAGGAAATTCTTAAGTTGCTTGATGCTGATGTTATTTATCCAATCTCTGATAGTACATGGGTTTCACCTGTTCACTGTGTGCCTAAGAAGGGAGGAATGACTGTTGTTAAAAATGAAAAGATGAATTAATTCCTACTAGGACTATAACCGGACATAGGATGTGTATCGACTATAGGAAATTAAACGCTGCATCTAGAAAAGATCATTTTCCTTTGCCATTCATTGATCAAATGCTAGAACGCTTAGCTAATCATCCATATTACTGCTTTCTTGACGGATATAGTGGTTTTCTTTCAAATACCGATTCACCCTAATGATCAAGAAAAAACCACTTTTACATGTCCCTATGGAACTTTCGCCTATAAGAGAATGCCATTTGGTTTATGCAATGC